AAAAAAAAAAAAAAAAAAAAAGGACTTTCCACAAGTTGGCACTACTGAACATTGGCCCTGTTAATGAGGAATCAGGGCTCAGGCATTTGGAACCTGGATTGCTGCTTTTAAAGAAATCCTGACAAACAGAGTTGCCTTTTCTAGTCCAGGAACTTCTCTATTTTAACAACTTAACAATTTTGTTTGTCTACTGAAAATTCCATTATTTGCACAAGTAAACAGACAAAAAAGAACATTTTTGTTAAATGACTGTTTCTTCAAAAAAATAATTGTAAAATGTTTGAAGATTTGTATACAATTGATCCGTTTTGACCATGAGAGTATGTAAAGGTTGTTCATCTGAACAAAGTCGATAGCCTTTCTCCCCAGCAAACTACATCCTAAATTTGGGATTTTCTTCAGTATCTTCTACCTAAAGGACATTAAAGAGACCAAGATTTCATCTGCTGCCCACATTTAAACACCAGGGGTCTGAGGGGGGTTTTCTTCTCTATTTCCTGTTCTTTTCGTTTTTTTGCACAGTCTCCCTAGACACCCATCTTCATCTATGACTTTGACTGTTGCAAGGACAATAAATTCCATACAAACAAACCATCACATGCAATGTAGTATCCATTTAGACCCATAGAATCCTTAGAGATTGAAGGAGCAAGAGGAAGGATACGGCAAAAACATGTAAGTAAAGGATGTCTGAAATTATGAACTTGATTGAAAATAACTGAAAATAATCTGACAAGACAATCACACCAACCAGTATGTAAATTACTTGTCAACAAACTTCCACACAAAAAATCCATGAAGCGTGTCATTTAAGCTAAAATTAGCATAGCTTTAGACAAACTTGAACAAAGGGCCATAACTCTGTTAATGGTATGGCCCCAGTCTCAATTTTAGTATCCAACACCCTGCCTTCCAAAGATACATAAGCTTAACAAGTTTGTGGACTGTTTTGTGATAAAGCACAATTAAATATATATGAACATAGTGCTGTAACTCTGTATATACCTGTAGTACCATACTAGACCCCTTTCAGTACCTGTCGCTTCTCGTCCCATGATACATAATTACACAAGCTTAGGCCCTTTTCACGTATCTTATTCAAATGGTTTGTCTGTTTTTAAATGTAACATTTTCGGGTATAAATTCTGGCGGACCTGCAAATGTATATGCAAGCCTTACAAAGCTTTGTCAAGGCTCACCTGAAAGTAACATCAGATTACTAGGTCTGACCTTATTTCATAAACGAACAACTCTGTTCCAACAAGTTCAAGCGTTCGGATTGCCATAAACCAATGCGCCCTTGGTGAATGCAGCTGAATCGGCAAGGATGCAATGCTCTGAATGAAATATTGTTGATCATGTCCTACCAGCCAGAAAACACCATACCATAATACATCCTATCATAGACTGGCTTATCAAAAATTGACAACAATTTTCATGACATATTCAACAAATGCTTTAATGTGACAATAAAAACCTTCCAATGACAAAATTTAAAAAGATCTGTTTGTATTTAAAACTTATTACAACTTTTTTGATAAATTGGCACATCACTTTCAAGAACTACAACCAGATGCATCAACAGAATGTGCCGACATTAAAAGCGGTCCGTGCCCATTTGGAGATTGAATGCCTTCAATGCCACACTTGTTAGTGAGACCAACAGCAACTTTGACCTTTGAGTTAGAATCCTGAAACACAAAATCATTCAGGCCATCTTAGCACTTCGGGACATCTCTATCTGTATGATATTGGTACACTGTGCTATGCCTTTGTAGTAGTCTGCTCAAATGTAATAATTTAACAGTGATAATATCCAGTAAAATAATACTAACTAAATTTCAATAACAGTGTTATACTATTTAGTAAAATAATAACTGAAAGTCCGTTTTCAATTGCACATTGTACACTTGTGCATTAGACTCCCTGATTTGGTATTTAAATCAAGGGACACTTATAATTCTAGAAGATAGCAATACAGCCCCATGGGCCTTTTGTTTGATACCACAATACATTTGGCTGGTTGATGCAACACAATGCATTTTATATATGAAAATGAAAGGCAGTTATGCTCTTATAACTAAGCTATCTTAAATTATCTTACATATAATGAAGGAGGCCTGATCTATTATTTAAAGCTGATGTGTCTTTATATACAACATAGTTCTAAAACACACTCTCTCACATACATGTACAGACTTAACATATTCATAACTGCATTAAGTATCACAGTGCAAGGGCTTATTCAAAAACACAATATGCATGTTAAAATTAAATCTGACTCATGTTAAAATCAAATCTGACTCTTTAACTGTTTTATAATTTGAAGGAGCCAGTTGGAACATCAACATCAGTGTATTCCAATAATTAGCAAAGCGCAGGATATTAATTTAAGCAATTTATTCCGGTCACTGATCACCCGTCTTCCTGTCAGGATTTAGAGGGAAAGGCTGTGCCTTTGATCGTGGTACGGTGGAGGATGCGTAGCCCCACCTCAGACACGGGGTACTGTGTCTCGGGTGTCGCCTCGTGACCTACAGCCAGGTTATCAGATATAATAAAATCTCCCTCCTCCCACTGAAAACAGCAATAACAAAACAATGGCGGTAAAAATATCCTTCATACAGTAAAATATGTTTAATATGAAGTCATATTTATTTCCCCTGCTACAGAATTGTTTCATGGATATTATTTTACTGAGAGCGGATTAATTTACGGGAGAATAGTGCTCCTCTGGTTAACAGCTTAACATCACATACAGATTTTATAACATCTTGTTTTGAAATAATTATTTTTGATTTAGAATTATCTTGCAGTTCTTAACTCAATAAGACCTTGTTAGGTCAAAGGTTTAAGATGAACTCCATAGAAGAGATGACCTTATTTATGATCACACATGTACTGACTGACCTTGTGGGAATAAATGAGGCGTCGGTTGTCCTTGACGATTTCCTGATGTATATCCTTTAGAATCTTCATTGTCTCCCCCTCAGAGGTGTATCGCTCCTCTTCTGTACCTTTGTCCATCAGAAATCCCTCAGTCATACCCAAATGGAAACACAGTGTCTACAACCAAAAACAGTCTATTGGAGCTGTAACATCACAAATGCTTCGACATTATTATAAACTTAGTGGGTTTATTCACTTGAGTGCTGTGCAAAAAAAATAATTTGAGGTTCTTATATACCGCTTTACCGCAACTTAGTTCGTAGGTCGTCTCAGAGCGGTTCACAAATTATTATCTGTGTCATAGGGCCTTTTCAACCAGCCAATATCTTTCTCAACTCCCTGGGGAGCATACAGCTGGTGCTGCCATTTCGGCACTCACAGCCAGCATTCAACAATTCCAGCACTGTCCAACCATGTACTCATTTACAGCTGAGTAGACTGGAACAAGCAGAGTAAAGTATTTTGTTCAAAGATACAACATATTGTTGTGACGTGACTCGAACCTGCAACCCTTCGGTCAGGAGCCAAGCATCCACTAGACTACCGTGTCTCCATATAATGCAATTGATGATCGATGGATCCAATGGATAACTCCATGGTAGTGCACCTCTAGCCATGTTGGTCACAAGATGTAAAGAGTTGAAAGCATTTCAATCTTTGTGTCCTAATAAGCATGGGTTCAACTCCTGGTGTTGACACTAATTTGTGTCATCCCTTTAAAGAGGGAATAAACTAAAAGGGAAAACCCTTCATAGAATTATTGACTGTTTGCATCAATGTGCAGTCCATGGCACTGAAAGACTTGGCATGAATGTAGTCAGGCACGACTTGGCACAACTGAAGAAAAACAGATGGGATATAGAACTTGACAGGTGAATCAAGACAACATCCACATGCGACAAGACAGAAGGACATGATGAAAAAATACTGGAGCTCTGCATGGTAACTGGGTGGGGTCACAGGTGCTGGATACACTAGGGTAGAGCCAACGCCGAGGTGAGTAGTGGCGGATAGGTTAGTCCCGGTGTCCTTAGCTTGGATACCTTTGCGGATACCAGAAGGTATGCAGGGCGTTTACAGAGTAAGGGCAAATGTTAAAGGGTACATCAATCGCAAAAAATTAGGGACTGGTTTTCTTGTGTTTAATGATGTGGTCTACCGGTTTTTTACCCGCACAGAATGGGCTTTATCAGGACAAGACATAAAAGATTGATAAAACTTCCTGGAGCAGAATAAAATAGTGAGTGAGTCTATTGTTTTGTCAGAGTAAATGAACGGTTCAAACTTACTGGAGCTCTGGTGACTGGGTGGGAGTAAATTAGAGGTTTATCCATTTGTTCTCTGCGGTCACTGACCATCCACAATCTCTCCCAAAGTGCCCGCTTCTCTGGTGACAGGCTGTCAATCAAGTCTGACAGCGACACAAATGCTACCAAAACAAAACATTGTATATTAATTGTACATTGAATGAGAAGCACAAGGATATTTGTGAACAGGTAATTACAGTCTTATTTTAAAACTTCTTACTTCTAAAAATGATGAGCTAAACATATAATATTAAAGAGACACTGGTCACAGACTTCTATGCTATTCCATTGAGTTTACCAACAGTTTCACAACAATCTCAGGGGTTTGTTACCTGATTAAAACGAAAGATGTAAAAAGCTAGTGTCTTCAAGTAGCACTGTATGTTGATGGAATGCTTCAGTCTCTCTTGCCTCTTGCAACATTAACATTTTTACCCCCAAACACACACACGTTAAGTTCTTGTATTAATAAACCCACCGTGTAGGCCAAGTGGTTGTTCGCAAGATATATTAACATTTATTTTAGCCAATGGGTAATTTTCATGTTATTTTAGCAAAATTGAAATATATTAATCAGTTTATCTAAAATTTCAATGACTGTTTTTCTTTCAAACCACTAAAAATCTATTTTGAAGGAGTTAAGGTTTTGAAAAAAAAGTTCTAGGTTGTCAGAAATAATTCTGCACTGTAAAATTGCAAGTTCAGAAGTTGGCAAATCTTAGCAAAAACTGACAGCTTGAGCATGATTGTCTAGACATCAAACCTGTATCTCCGTTTTTAGGTATGGACACCATATGGTAGATGGAGTATGAAAATGGCAGAGCCATAAAGCTGCCGTCGATGTGCCAGCCAGTGCGTCCGACCCGTGTACAGCCCTCAGACTCATCATTAGACACCCTGAAAACGTCGGGATGTGGAGACTTCGGATGTTTGTAAAACGTAGACTCCAAATCCCCGAACCATTTACTGATTTCCACGTGCTTGTCACCACTGACAACACCCTGGTTCTTGAAAATGAGCAATTTGTGTTTATGCACGTCAGCTCGAATACTGTTTATAGTTTCCTGACAGGTAACTTCGACTAATTTTAAGTTTGACACAATTTTACCAATTTTCATTTTGGTCTTGTCACTTTCCTACCTCCAAATAAAAGAGTTATCGTTTATAGTACCGTAGTCTCTCTATAACTTCTTTAGGCTAAAGAAGTTATAGAGAGACATTTATTTCATCAGTAAGTACCTATAAAATTTGATCATATATATGTGTGACCTTGACCTTCAAAGGTCATCCAAGGTCATATTGGTCAAATATGACCTATTAAAACTTTAAACAACATTTTCTATAAAACCAATGGGTACAGAGCCATGATACTTGCTAATGGTATGTAGTAATTATTTTTTTGTAACTTATTATGTTTAAATCGGGGTAATAGGCCAAAATGTGCTTTAATGGGTAAAAAAAATTTAAGAATCTTAAGACCCAGCTAGGGTCATGATATTTGGTTAGAAGGTACCTGGGACTGAAATTTCATCATATAAATAATCTTGACCTAATTTCAAGGCCACCTGCTACATCTTTAACAAAATTATCTAAAAAAACAAGTCTAGAGCCAAAATACATAAGATATGGTATGTAGACCAGCGGTGCAAATATTTTTCCAGCATATTGTGTTTAGGTCTAAGGTCAACTCTGAGCATGGGCCAGGGTCAAATGTCAACATGTGTTATAATGGATGAAAAACTTTAAAATATATTCTTTAAGTTGCATAAGACTGATGGTCATAATATTTGGCTAGTGTGTACCTTAGTGGAATACATGCATGTGTTACAAAGTTTCTTTATATTAATGACCTTGACCTACTTTTAAGGTCACAGGGGTCAAAATATTTAGAAACTTCATTTGCGCTCACAACACAATGTCCACTCCAATGTACTTTAGATCTCTGATAGTGTCATTTATTCGCCATGAATTCTTGTTATGTTTCCATTACCCTTGTGCTATTGGTTTTTTTTCCGATGCTCGGTCACAGAGCTTTACAGGGCTAATATTGTTTTAACATGAAGCTGAACAAACAATTCTGCACTATTCCATATTATATATAACTGGCATCTTATTAAGGAACATCATCTTTGGGCACATGCATCTTTTACTTTCACATAACATGATGAGCTCACAGATTTGTAATACAAATGAATATAATTTATGTATATCGATTAATATCCAACACACTTCTGCTTAGTGGTCATGACAACCTTTCCTCAGATGAATTCACCCCCGATAACTTTCACTTTAGTGACACTACAAAACTTAAGGTGTGCTGTTTTGCATAATGACAAGGTTGTGAGTGGAAAAATTAACCAGAGTTGGTTATCCAGATTAAATCCAAACCATTTGGTTTGTTTGTGTTTTACATCCTATTTACAGCTATGGTCATTTAACTACGGCCAGTACCTGGCGACTGCCCCACGTAGGTCTCGAACCCTCGACCCAGTGGTGGAGGGCTAGTGGTGGCAGAATGTCAGATGCCTTAACCATCGCGACCCCAACCAAAGTGGACACTATAACTGAGTACATGTTTTTGTCTAATACCTAATTCTTAAAGATAAATCAACAAGGCATTTGTTGTAAATGGTTTATTAATACATGCGAATTTTTTCTTCTTTTTACAAAACAAAAATATTAAAGTCATTGATCTTATTAGAATTTTTCAACAAAAGGTCAGACATTTTGTAATAATCAAATCACTTCTCGACACATCACTTTAATTGAATGTTCTTACAATTACCAGTATAAATGCTGCCACAGATTAAACATAAAATAAACTTATCTAAAAACTAATCACGGCTAAACCAGTGTTCACCAGTTTTACAATGAGGGTAAGTGGCACTAACATAAAGGTGGAAAGGAAATTCAAACTCTAAGATGGTCGTCACGTCAGATGCAAATTCTAATCGGTGATTAGTCCCTCAACTTATTTAAAGACGAGTTAAATTTCTACTACAAATATCCAGCTGTTTCGTACAATTAAAACAATACAAATGATAACAGATTTACTGTACAAACTGTAAACATATGCTAACATTATTTTAATTCACTCTTAATTTTAAGAAATTTCAAAAATCTCTACATCTCATACACAAATTTAATGTTCTAAAATTATCAAGTTAAGAAAGGCAACATTTCACATACATTTACTTAAAAGATTACATTATATAGACAAAAAACAGTTTTTTTTTCATTTTTTTAACATTTGCTAGTGTATCTTTTTGATCCTCATGACAGGGCAGGGAACAAAACAAAACCATTTGTACTACATATATGAAAAAACGTGGATATCTTTTTTCTTTAAATAGTTACAACAAACTACACCAAACCAAATGCTAAGTAAATGGCTATGTAAGTTTATATACTAATACAGAAATTAGACTGTCCGTGATCAAAAATGCAGATGAAGTTGATCTTACCCGTAGAATTATTGATGAAATCGATGAAATGAACTACACTTGCAGTCACAATGAAAACCTTATATATTTAGACACATACAGAAAGCAAATTGTTTTGAAATTATAATTTCTTACACCATTATCTATCATGTTGGTTCAAATATATTCATACAGTATAAAGTTTATACACTCCATGTTTGTAGCATTGACAATCTCTTTCAATACATACTGGTCTCAAGCATAAAGACAGATTAGAAAAGAAATCAGGGAAAAAAAAGAACTAAATTGATAGAAAGAGCAACAACTACTTAAGTATTGATATGACGTGAGAAAGAATGAAAAGTACTGATATGATGTGAGAAAGAAGGAAAAGTACTGATATGACGTGAGAAAGAATGAAAAGTACTGATATGATGTGAGAAAGAATGAAAAGTATTGATATGATGCGAGAAAGAATGAAAAGTATTGATATGATGTGAGAAAGAATGAAAAGTATTGATATGATGTAAGTATTAATCAGTTTTTATATGAAATAAGAATGAACAAGCAGATACCAAATGAAGTAAGAAATAACACAAGTCGACACTAATCGGTAAGTATTGAGGGGAATGGTGACTGATATGATACATGACATGAATATTTTGCTAACCGATAATATGCTACAGTGATGAAAACATTCCTTGTCACATGCCACATTTTGATACCATCTACAGCTTGTGGGATGATAAATCCAAGCAAAATTATTGCTATGCCTTTTAGGATCACAGGTAATCAAGCATACAAAATATTCTTTAGTAGAATGAAGGTTAAAATGTTTGTCTTTTATAAAATCTGTTTTTCTGTAACGTCAATGAAACACACTGAGAAATGGAGGATCGGTATCATTATGACCTTGGACTAGATTCAAGGTGTGAATGATATCAGAATGTCTGTCGGGATCTCCGTGTGTGTAGTTGTGTTGGTCACTGTAGAGGTGTCCTGGGGCGGTGTGAACAGTAAACTGGGGCGCTGAAATGTACAATTTACATTACATTACTCCAACTATGTAAATTATCACTACCTACTAGGCAACTAATAAGCTGTATAATATATCTATACTTTATCTCTGTATACAATGTATAAAATATCTATACTTTATCACTGTATACAATGTATAATATATCTATACTTTATCTCTGTATACAATGTATAATACATCTATGCTTTATCTCTGTATACAATGGCACTTGTCAAACTGATTTGTTTAGCTTTATGAATGTAATACAACAGGATTAAAATAACTATCAATATTTTTGAAATTAATGTTATTGAATTATATTAAATTCTGTTACATAGGAAAAATATCTCTCATACACTCAAGGCCATCCTTACTTAAAAGTCTAACATCCAACGGAAAAAATGCATGTCCAGAACACATCATATTTGAGGTCTGACATATCCCATCAATTACTCAGAATCCATCACACACCACAATACTCGATGTACCTCTGTCTCATAAAATACTCACAGAATTTCGGAAGGCAGGTGTAGCACCAGCGTTTTGACTGATGTAACTGGTATTGTCGTCTCCTAGCTGTAGTGAAGACTTCTGTCCTGGTGGTGTGAAGATCAACATGTCATCGCCGACTCTATCCTGATCAGGCACTGAAACATCCATAATATCCCCTACCTCCTGTGTATGTTCTACTGTTGGCGAGGCAGAGAAGTGCACACTGCGTCTGGTTGAGCGACGGCGCTGTGAGGATGGAAGCTGTTTTAAACTGGATGTGCGCCGCTTTGGCATGGCTGGGGAATCATTCACATGTTCTGCCAATACATAGAGATTTGGTTGAAGGGATGTAAACTCAGATGTTATATAGTTATGTACATCACAACATCTCACACAATAAATTACTGACACAAAATAAATACTTATATCTGCATTTTCATCAAGAATGATGACAAGCTGATTTGCATTACTATTTTGACAGAAAAATCTATGGATTTGTTGGGATGTTTAGTTTTCAAAAGAGTAGTGGTAACATTTTGATTTTGTAATTTTATTGATTATTGTCTTTTTTTCAAAAAAACTGTCCCATTAATTGGGTCACCATTTGGTCTTAATCACCGTTTGGTCTTTTTAGATGAAAACATGATACTGAGTTTGCAGACAATACGTACCTGTAGTCTCAGCAGCAGACAGGGCGGAGGAGAGGTCCCAGGCCTCCCCGTCATTGTCCAGAGCACTGGAATTACCTGTAGCCTTGGACAGGGAAGTACTGCTGGGCTGGAGATATTTGAAGAAATCACTGTTGCTGTCTGTGTCCTTGACCGTGGATGAAGGTGATGACACATCACATAATGACCTTCTAGATCTCAGGGATCTCCTGATAACAAATTTCGCATTTCATTATGTCACAATTACAACTTTGTATCAAATATATGCCAGTCATCTGCAGATGATATATAGGTGAACCATAAGATGTCAGATGACTTATCTGACATCTTATGGTTCATCTATATATAATCTGCACAAGTTATAAATACTGAATAGCAAAATGAACAGAGAAATGTACTTAAAAAATATCCAATACCATTCATTCTATAACAATAGCCGGATAGGGCCTGTATTCCTTTTCTATTTTTTTTTTTTTAACAAAACCTCATGACAGGCCCCAGCAAAGCTTTAACCTTCCTTTACACCACAGTTGATTCCAAGGTCATAAGGACCATGGATGCTCCATAGCATTCTTTTTTGAGATCTGCTTATATGTGTAAAAGGTTATAGGGTGGAGATCTTAACAATTTTCATAGTATTACCCTGGAACTAAACATATCAATCAATTTTCTGTTGTCACCCTGGAACGAAGTCCCCAAGAATGGGGCCAGAACCCTAGCTAATCCTGGTAGCATAATTGTGGTTATCTCTTCACACAGTTATAAGTTATACAACAAGACTCTCAACTGTTTCTAAATGATGACCCAAAGTCTACAGAGAACACCAAGGGCAATCATGGTAGCATTATCATGAGTGTATTCTCTTGTTCATGTCATACAATTAAATAAATGGTTGGGATCTTAACAATTTCCTTGTAATGACCTAGGAACTAAGTTCACAATGGCTGGGCCAATCCCGGTATCCTCAGTACATTTGTCTTCATGTCTAGCAATTGCTTTAGTTTTTTTGTTTGTGTTTTACAAGGTTTTGGTGGTGGAGGGAAGCCGGAGATCCCAGAGAAAAACCACCGACCTACCGCCAGTACCTGGCGACTGCCCCACGTAGGCCTCAAAGCCACAACCGAGTGGTGGAGGGCTAGTTGTAGCAGAATGTCAGAAGCCTTAACTACTTGGCCAACGCGTCAATTGTATATATATATCATCACAGGGTTGGGATTACAGGCTTTGACAGTCAATCATACCAGTATAAAGTCAAATAACACAACAGTTTTAGCATAAACTAGATTGTAGACAGTGCTATAATGCTAGGCATATATATATCTGGATATATATCTTGATGATGAACATTTGTAAAAGTAAATACTGATTATGAGTACTGTTTCCAAGACTAAGCTCTACGATACTGACCTTGGTGTAATCTTTGCCCTTGGTGTTCCAATCGTTGTAGAAATATTTTTATCAGATGGGATTCCAACTGTTTTCTCTGAAATGTCACTGCTGAAGACATCATCTGTCTCGTTTTCTGTGCTTTGAACCTCTGGTTCAGTATCTACCCCTGAACACAATTTTTTGGAAAACGAGTGACGCGCCAGCCTGGCCTTGGCGGTGACATGAGGAGTGATGTCCCGTAACAAGGGACTGGGGTTAACTGGCACATAGGACTTTCTGCTAGGTGTGCGCAGACTTGTCAGTCCCAAACTGTCAACAGCTGGAGACAGTACTTCCGAAAGTGGGGTAGACTTGGGCTGAAGGGTCTTCTCCTTCTCTGTAGAAGAGGTGGAAGCCTTTCGTTGAGGTGAGCCCGCTAAAAGTGAACAAATTATATTTTAATCTTAGCTCTACAGATAGAATTAAATGCAATAGGAAATTGCATGATGATTCCTTTAATAGCATTTTTTTAACATATTCAAAGAGGAGGATTAGAAGGCCTGTATCTTTCACCTATTTTTATTTGTTAAAAAGAAAATTTAAGTTGAGATGGGCGATCAGAGGGATAATCTTAGAATCCTTATTGACCCAAAAAAAATACAACTAGGGAAAGTAAACAAATTATCTCCCCCTCCCTGTGGATCCATTGCGAAATTCTACTTTTACTAATAGTGACCTTATATCTATGTCCATGCCCATATTCTCATTTGACCAAGGTATGTTGAACTTGGTAAAAATATCTGAAATTTCATGAAAAGAGTAAAGCCATAGGGCTGGCTTTTGTTGGGGCGCTTATATAACATACCTTCACAATGGAATTTTGGAGTCCTTTTTGGACTGGAAACTTTAAAGAATCCCCCGTCAAATGTGACAACTGGATCTTCATGACAAATAATGTCTGGAACAGTCTGCTTCTTCTTCATCTGGGACCGGAAGGCAGCAAATTTGGATGCAACAGGAGGACGTTTTACAGCTGGTTTTGCAGATACTTTTTTCTGAAAGAAACACCCAATCAGACATAAATGAAATGTATATATACTGTAGCCACCATGCACCCAATGTTATGACCTAACTCTGGTAAAATGACATTAATATTTTTGTAATAAATTTGTACACGAAACTGCTAAGCGTATTAGCAGGAGCTGCACAAAAAAGGATCCCGATGCATTCTTGGATCAAAAATAGAATTAAATATTGTTAACAAGAAACAATATATTCCACCATAAAACTCAATTAAGTTGAACTAGAACACTGACAGGTCAGTAAGGGCCCCGTCTTGTGGCAATATATCCCCATAATCATCAAGAAGCAATCTGCCCATATTGCATATAGCTGAGCTTGACGTTTGACATTTGGACTTCAAAAAGAATCGCAAGGAAGCAAAATATACATTTTACATGTACTATGATGTGAGTCTTGTTTCCTTCCACCTCCATATTTGCTGGGCTAATAGAAATGTAAATACCGGTGCAATACTCATTTGTTAGCTTTGATTTGTTTTATTTCACCTTGTATACCTCCTACATCAAGAGCCAGGGTCAAAGTCAGAGATCCACTTTGACCTTTGGACCCAAATGACCTTGACCATTAACCTAGTGACCCTGAACTTTGGTCAGTTGACTTATTCTATATTTCCGACCAACTTTGCTTCTTGATATCATAACAAAATGTTCATCAGTGAAAAATACAAAACTTGACCTTGACCCTTTGGATCCCATAACCTTGACCTAAGGTCAGTTGACTCTGTGTTAAGTTCTGAACAACATTGCTTCATAATGTCATAACAAAATGTTCATCAGGAAATAGGTACAAAATTTAACCTTGACCAATGACCTTGACCTTTGGTCTGTTGACTCCTTGTTTAATTCTGATCAACTTTGCTTCATCATGTCATAACAAAATGTTTATCAGTGAAAAAATGCAAATTTGACCTTGACCTTTGAATCTAATGACCTTGGCCTTTGAACTCGACTTTTACATCAGTGTGTCTCTTTGTTTGATTCCGAACAACTTAATTTGCTTCATAATGTCATAGCGAAATGTTCACCAGTGAAAAGCTACAAAATTTGACCTTGACCCATGGCCCGATGACCTTGACCTTTGGTCATTTGACTCCTTGTTTAGTTCTGATCAACTTTGCTTCATGTCATAACAAAATGTTCATCAGTGAAAAGATGCAAATTTGACCTTGACCTTTGAATATAATGACCTTGATCTTTGACCTCAACTTTTTACCTCAGTATGTCTCTTTGTTTAATTCCGAACAACTTTGCTTCATAATGTCATTGCGAAATGTTCACCAGTGAAAAGCTACAAAATTTGACCTTGTCCCCTGACCCGATGACCTTGACCTTTGGTCAGTTGACTCCATGTTTAATTCTGATCAACTTTGCTTCATGATGTCATGTCATCAGTGAAAAGATGTAAAATTTGACCTTGACCTTTGAACCTAATGACCTTGACCTTTGACCTTGATTTTTTTACCTCAATTTGTATTTTTGTGAACTGAACATCTTGACCAAGTTTCATGAACATCGGTCGATAAATACCAAAGTTATCAGCCAGGAACAGAATTTGTGGACGGACGGACAGACAGACAGTGATTATTATAGGGCACCCGTATCTCTGATACGGGGCCGTAATTATTTCTGGGATGTGATAAAAGGAGAAAATTGTAATTTACTCAAGTCACTTATACATGTATCCTTTAATACTTTTAACACCACTTTGCTTCCCTTTGCTCAAATTTTAAACCACAAAAAAAGAAACTAGTACTTCCTCACTTCGTAAATGAATGATTCATCTTAAGCCAATTCTTGATTACTGGCAGATTTCACCCAAATTTGAACTTATTTCATTTAGTTATCACAGAAAACTACAGACTAATCACAGCTCAATATGCTAATCAAGTATGTTTAGATTTTGCTCATCTTCAAACCTAGCATTGCTCTTCATTTGCATAATAATTTTAGCCAGGTTTTGTCAGAAACCAATCACCTTTGGTGAAATAAATGTGCTGAAATTGTGGACCAATCATAGTGCAGTATGTCCATCAATAAATCAGACTTAACTCAACTTAGAATATGGTGCTTCATTACCTTTACCACTTTTTTCTGGACTGTTGGTTTATCTTCCACCCAGTTGTTGGCCTTTAGCTTGTCCAGGTTAGCAAACTTTGTATGGACATCTTCCACCTGTAATAAAAATTATAGATCATCCTCTGTATACAGTATCTTCATGTTATATATTCTGTGCAGGATTCTAACCAAATATTTCTGTAAGATAAGTTTTATTAAAATAGATGCAATTTTGAGCAAAAATAAAAGTCAAATTTCAGAGGTGAAATGTGGATGAGGCCCTTGATTTTTACTAACCTCAAATCTGTATTTTAATTTTAATTTACCAAAACTTAAATGTCAGTTGTTCAAAAGAAAGTATATCTCTTATTTATCACTCCCACAAAGTATAAACCAAGTTGGTGCAACAGAACGCAAGCCATAATTCCACATAAGCAATCTCATGTAGGTATCACTTCCACCAAGTATCAACACAGTTGGTCCAATAAACCTTGAATTGTATAAACTTAATGGCCATGAAGCAACCATGCATGGTTTGCAAACAAGAATATGGAGGCAATTCTCTTCCTAAAAATTAGCTGATTGCTTGTTCAAATATCAGACCCACAAGTCATTGGATCAACTTTGAATAAATAACATTAAATCGTAATAAAAATAGAACAGTGCAATACTTTACAAAAGTACAACAGTCCAATTATAAATGGACCCAGAACATTCTCACTTGTGTAAAAACTCACAAATTAAAGTTTTTAAGGGAAATGTTTATTTGAAAAAGCATTCAACAGATTGGGTCAACATGTCAGACAGAAATAGAAAAGCAGTCTAGTGGTAGGACGCCAAGCTCGTGACCGAAGAGTTGCAGGTTCAAGTCACATCATGGCACTGTGTTTTATCTTTGAGCAAGAAACTTTACTCTGCTTGTTCCAGTCCACTCAGCTGTAAATGAGTATGTGGTTGGGCAGTGTTAGAATTGTAGATATTGGCTGGTTGCAAAGGCCGCTTTGGGAGACCTACAAACTAGGTTGTGATAGAGTGGTATATAAGAACCTCGTATTATTATTATTATGAGTATAATACCTGGTAGAAGATCATGTCCCAGAATCCCTGCAGGTCTGTGAAGGTTGTCTCCTTCTCACCAGTCCCAAACTCACAGTTGTCCACCAGGCCTGTAAACTGCTTGAAGCGCTGTCTAATTAACAGCTGGGCCTGACCAATACATGACCTGATTTGACCTTCCACTGGACATAACAAACAAAAAAATTGACCACAGATAATGACCTGACTTTCTACTGAACACAACGTTAACACAACAAACAGTAATCCCCATCTAAATATGCATGAACGCAAAATAATGAACTAGAGTTTACATATTTATTATCAGTAAATAGAACTTTTCTTGGTTCACATGGAAAGAGCCATAAAATAAGGTTTTAGTACGCCATATACACATGGACTATTTGGATGAATGGGGGGGGGGGGGGACTGGGGAACAAGTTGTACAATGTAAANAACACAATCTCACTAACATGAAGTGAACCAACATACAAAGACAATGATGTCCAACTAGTTTTCATTAAGTAAATTAAGATCTTTTATGAGAAAGAAAAAAAAAGGAAATGAAAACCACCAGTGAAATCTCCACCTAACAGAGGCATCTGTTAAAGTATAATTCATTCAAATTAAATATGTTGGTTTTTCTCAAACCATATTAATACTGTGCAATGTGGTACTAGGAAAATTATTCTATACATGTATTTATTACATTTTTGCCAGTGAAATATCGGATTCTATCAACTTGATAAAACTGATATCTTTCACACTGTGACAAATATCAAAAGTGATATTGACCAATCATAACGATAACTACTATTCGCTGCATTCAAAGGCAACAATTTTTTGTTCAGATTAAAAAGAAGCGACGGTAGAATAAGTGGTTGTTATGGTAAATGTTTGGTACACATACTGCAGTATTTACATAAATATACAATTAATAACATTTATATCATAAGCAATCATACTAGAAAATAGCAGAAAACGTCGGAATTGCGTTGAGTATCCCATTCAAAATGGCACGCAGCCTTGTTGCCAAGCGTGATGTCATTAGAGTATGGCGCTAACTATTACGCTTCTGATTCCCGCCCTTTTTTAATGCATTACATTTTTCATATTTTATGCTTTGAAAATGTATTAAATAGAAAATTGAATGGTATCCTCAGTAATAACAAATATATTTCACTTGTGTAGCTAATGTTTTGATATTTTTCACTCTTGCTGCGCACTCATGAAAAATATCAAAATATTGGCCCACTTGTGAAATATATTTGTTATTACTGAAGACACCAATAAATATCCTCTATATATTATATATTTCTCTCTTAATCACATCAGACAAGATGCCATAGACAGACATTGTCAGAATGAAAGAGTCCAAAGAGAAAATGCAAGCAAGTGCACATACCTTCTTCATTCAGACTTGGAGTATTTTTGTTGATATCTTCCCACTTGGAACAGTATCCGTCAAAGATGTCAGTTTCTGTCGACATTAGCTTTCGGAAGTATTTCACATTGTGCTCCTCTGGCTCAGCTGATTTTTCTTCTGTGCAGAGAAGAGGAGCAGTCATTGAACAGACATGTGAAGTAATATTCACACTGATTGGAAACACAGGTAAAGACAGCTTAGACAATAGTTAATATCCTATCTTAATGAAATTTTCATTTAGGAAAGCAACACCCGAGGGTCTAGAAGCATCATAGAAATGACAAATACACCAATATTTCTACAAGTTTGTAAAATGAAGGTAAACCTCGAGTACTAGTTACCTTGTGGTTGTGATGCAGAGAGCTGTTCACTTGATACGGTGTCTGACTGGATTTTTTCAGAAGACACGAGGGTCTGATCTTTTTTTAGATCCGTTGTTGTGGATGGAGCACTGTCAATCGACGTTTCTGATGTCATGAGAGACATGCTGACATCATCAGCAGGACCTGATGTCACAAATGATGTACTGGCATCATTAACTGTCTGTTGTGATGTCTGAGACAGTACGTCATCAAAATCCATATCCAGATCTAGCTTCAGCAACGGCTCTGTAAAAGTCCAGTCATTCCTGTTAAACATCAGCTCATTCAGGTGTTAATCAAATATAAGCATCTAAAACATCAAACTCTAGCCTGCATCGATGTTGTGTTATAATTACAAATAAACAAGCCCAGAGGGACTGTATCGCTCACTTGTATCTTTAAGCTCAGTTATGGTATATTGTGGCTATGGGTTGATGATCTCAACCCCTTTTAAGTTATGGTAATTAAAACATGACAGTGTTAGTGATGGCAGTGACCCCTGTGATCGGACTGGAACTTTTGGGTCAATACCCTAACACTTGATCATTCTGGCCGTGTGTGTTAAGAACTGGGGTCCCTTGCAATTTTTTTTTTTTATTGACACAAAAAAGGATTAACATGGGCACAGTTTGGAACTCCAGAAAATTTTAAAAATGCCCAACAGCTACTAAAAAGTAGGTTTCAACCTTACAGCCTGTAGCTTTAGTATTAAATAATGTGCCCTTTGTGGGAAAAATATAAACATTCAGCCGTGTTTTACTTTGTAACCATATCATATTGAATATTGCATGGTGACTTCATTAAAAGATAGTAACAAATAATATAAGAAATAAGGCAAAACATTTTTACTCTCCCTTGTCACTGCCATTAATATTTTCCATGAAATTTTAAGCATGTTTCTGTTTCAGTTCTTACCAAGTGTGTTTGCCTTTGGTGTCCTTCTGTTCATTTCAATCATAGGACTGTCTCTCAGGAGGTTAAGCCTAAAAAAAACATAATTACTTTCAAACCACAAACACATAACTGGTACTTGATATGTCATATGTATCATCAGTACATTAAATTATATTTTTTATAAAGCTATCATAAATCTTCATTTTTGTATGAACAATTCTATATATATACAATACAGGATATGATTAAATAATTAAAAAGCTCTTAAAATCGGAAACAAGTAATAATATGAATTCAAAAGTGATATCAATATAACATACCATTCTTCTGGACTCTTTGGGTTGACAGGGCGATCATGCTGCGTCTTCCTCCTCTTCCTCTTGCTGCGGGATGCTGACAACACTAGGCAGTCACTGCTAGGTGGTAAAAACGGTGCCAAGTTACTCATGGTCCGTCTGGTAACTTTTCTTTCAGGTGTTTGTTTTGCATCAGCTTTTTTCGGTGAATTTGAGAATACTTCATCTTCAAGAGGCTTGGCAGTAGCTACCTCATCAGACGGTGCGATTACCGACCTGCGAGTCCTTCCATGTGCATTCCTGGGAGTGGCCACCTTCTTTGGAGAGGCAAGAGCCGCTGAGGGAGGAGACAGACACAGTGAACGCCTCAGACTTCTCGTCATCCTCTTGGGGATGGATTTCTCTTCTTTCTTTGAGTTCAATGGAGCTGGGGATTCCTTCAACAGTGTAAGCTGTTTGGGAGCAGCAGATATCACATCATTAGTCTCATCTTGTGCACCAGCATTGATAGAGGTTGACTCCATCATGTTTTCCCCTGGGGTTTTGGTAGAATCTCTACTGCTTGACTGTTCGTTAACCTCAGTTGATTGTGTGGCAGATTGAGATCCTAATATTGACCGCTGGAGTCCACGGGTGACGCGTCTTTTTTCACTCAGAGAGGTGTTAACTTCCATTGGTGTATTTTGTTCGTTTGTTACAGTCTTTGGAGGGGTAGCCGTACTCTCAGGTTTCTCTCCTACACAGTTGCTATCTGTGGCCTCTGGGGTTACAGTAGATTGTGCGAGTCTGTCACTTACTTTAGAGATGTCTACAAGGTTTACTGAGCAGTCCGCTGCATCGAGTTGGAAGTCTACAATAAAAGTGTTAGAGTAATGAGCAAATAAATCATTCTATTCAAAAATAAACACTATAAACATTTCAATTTATTCATCAAAGAGTTACTTATAAATTCATTTAGTATTTTTTCATTGAACAATGTCAAATCTGCTTTGTACACAGCATTAAGAATAAATGATTGTTTGAATTTAGTTATATATTTTCTTTTGATAATATTTAGAAAGGTAGAGAATTTAAGCTTACCTGGAGACAAATGTTGCTTTGGGGTAGAGCATCTGAAAGGGAAAACAGGATTACTGTATTTGAAGTCCTATGAAAGATATACGCTGGCGTTTTTCCTGCCCATTTCTTCACAAATTCTTAAAAGATCGACATTATGATTCAACACAATTCCCCCCCCCCCCCCCCCCCCCCCCCCCCCNTTTTCAAATGGATTGGAAACACATGGTTTTCCAGATGAAATATACATGAAATGGCAGAAAAGCTCCCCTAACTCATGATGGTTGGTTATCATGTTTATCTAACACTGATTACGGTAGTCTATTTTCAAAATTATATAAGACACTCGGTAAACCTTGTGTATACAGAACTTTAAAAACAAACTAACTTGAATAAAATAATCATGATAGCCAACTGTCACTCATTGGGGAACCTCTGTTTATCACATTCGAAATATAAATAGGATGCTATGATGAGAATAACATTAACTGACCATCAAAGAAAACTTAATCTGGTGTAGAACTTGATGTAACCATAGTATGGTGTAAGTTAAACTGAATCATGTACCTTGGTACATGGGCTTTTTACTTCCCAATGGTCAAGTGGGACTTTTGACCATTTACCAATGTCTGTTGACCACCAAAATCTAATCAGGTGTAGCACTGAATGTTACCAATCAATGGTTTAAACTAAATCTGCTGAGGAGTTCATGGATTTGTATTGTACACAAATTTCTTTCTATGGACATACAGACATGTGCTGACACACCAACAAAGCAATTACTATATATATGTATATAAATAACCCTATCTAAGTGGGGTTAAAATCATTTAAAATCACTTTGCCAACCAATTATTCCTAATTTTTGGGCCTAACCACTAGTGACTACTCATCAAGAAACAGGAATATTTAAGATTTGAGTCTTCATGATAGCTACCAGTTATAACACAATTTGGATTTTTTTTTTAAATACACTAATCCAACAAATCCATTCCATTTGCTGCAGGAGTTGTGTTTGTCCATGAATATATATATACACCACTATGAGATACATACCTTTTAGGATCAGTGTCGAGGAAAGACGTGGTGGCTGGGCACAGGAACTTAGCAGTGCTGGCAGGACTGAGAGGTTTAAATTCAAACGTTGAGACGTTGCTTGGAGCACTGAAGGTGAAATCCTCCGGGGCGAATGAGATACCTCTGAAGGTTGACACTTTCTCCAAGTCAAGATTTTGTGGTTTCTGTTTCGATGGTACCTTCTTTTCGTTGACAGTTTTTTTAAGGGTAGATTGTTTGGAGGTAACTGTCAATATAAAATAACATCAATGTTATAATACCGGTAACTCATAAAATGATAAACCTCTAGTTAATTTGAATCAGCGGTAAGTTTGAATACATTCATTTAAAAATAAAAACTATAATTTAGTGCTTACCAACATATCAGATTTTTAATACAAAATTTGAGTACTAAAATAACGGAGTTATTATTTATTTTGGCTATCAGCCATGAAATAGAAGCATGGAGAACTCACTCAATTTTCACATTGACAGCATTTTATAATTGAGTAAAGACGGGCATTACTCATGATGTGCAACCATTTATATTGCATTTAATAGTGAACTAGTTTCTGATGAATCAAACAAAACAAATTACCAGCTGGTTTCTGTTTTTCAGCATTCCTTGTAGCTCTCGTTGAAGGTCCTTTGGATTTAGATGGCATCGGTACACTTTTGGTTCCTTTAGAGGCAGACTGTGACCGAGTGACTCGACCCGATACAGGAGCTGGTGCCACAAACTTTGATGGTGCTGGTTTAGGAGCCTGAAAACACATTTGGTTAATATTATATATATCATTATACATGGTTTTGGGATCTATTTGACTGTATGTCAATAAAGTAAAAATCATCAAACAGAGATGGTTATCTTAACAACTGTTAAATGGAACAGGAAATACAGAGTTATCTTAAAATGATATCATGTTTCATCAAAATAATCTATTTCTCCACTAATATTATATTTAAAAATAGAAATGACTTTGTGAGAACGAAAACGGGAACTTCCCATGTTAAATACGATAAACTTTATTAGGTACACGAATAGTATTGCTTTTGGTCTAGTTCCAAATTAACCAGACATTTAGTCATAATATTTTTACACCACTAACCATAATTAGTATCTTTTAACAACATGACACAAATGTAGTAACCAAATCCTTCATGATTAAGCATTTTGGTTGTTTATGCGATGGTACCAAAACTAGTTTTTTTGTACCTCTGTTTTTTTGGTTGCGGTCTTGACAACTGGTTTTCTGGCAGGAGGATGACTTTCTATGACCCCTGGTTTCAGTGGTTTCTGAAATATCCAATTAATAAACATTGTCTTATGAGAAAATTCTACATTTATTAGTTTCTTACAGAAAATCAACAAGAGGTCAGTCTCATAATTATGGCGTAATGATCTGCATTACTTTTTCTTGTTTCACTTCAGCATCACATCTGGCTTTTATGAACTGTGAATTAAGCTTGCCCAGTGGTGCAACTCAAGATGCTATCCAATCACTTATTAAAAATGCTTCGAAATATTCTAGTTGACATTAGCACTTAAAATATTCAGGAAAGGGGCAGAAATGGAAAACCCACATCTAAGTATGATTTATCCCCTAGTTAGTTATGTCCACATCTATTTGAACTTTTTGAATGCATATACTGTAAAACAAAAAATATCCTACCAGTAGTTTTTCAGAGATTATCAATTTTTTATTACAATAATGCCATGGTGACACATTCAGAGCTGTGGTGATATTCATTCGGTTAACCTACATGTAGGTAATCATAGTTCAATCAATCCAATACATGGAACATTTTCCAATTTTGTGTTTACACATTTATAGTGGTCTTTTGATTGACCCAAATTTCAAAGTTCAAATGTTTGCCGATTAAATGGCAAAAATCATCACTCAAATATAGCCACCCGCATGTGTTCTCTAAAACTCAAAATTGTAGTATAATTAGGCCCATTTTTTTCAATATTACAGCACTTGCATTGCACATATATATATATCACTTCAGTGGCATCATAAGTGAGGCTAACCAGGACGGACTGGAAAGGTAAAAAAATATAATCCATCTCAATAAAATGTCAATGTTACGACGTAAAGAAATGCCTAATTTTCACTAAAAATTAATATGTTGAAAATTGTGTACATTCACCGTTTTAGCTTGGGTTGAAACAAATCCTGCAATTGGACAAATTTGGTTCCCTTTCTTTGCACCCTTCGTGTACAGTTTGACATCATTATGAGCCATATGAGAAATCTTAAAGGAGGGTTTCTGCAGTTGTTTCTGTTTTTCCATCTTTTTCTTCAATTCCTTCTCTTTCTTCCACTTCACAAGTTCCCGCTTCACATCATCTGCTGTCCTTAGCTTCCTTTTTTTACCATTATCTACCAATATACAACATAACAAAGGGTCCATTCAGAGCTAATGTTTCAATAATAAATCCTTAAAATTTTCAATGAATGCATACTTGTCAACTTTTTGAAATTTCAGTGGGGGAGATTCTGTATGCTCAAAATTAAAACCAAAATAGAATGTGTGTATATATCCCCTAGGGACACAATAACCCTTTCAAATGACAGACTTTGATTTTTCATTCAGGTGAAACCATTTGGTCTTAAAATGATAATTTAGGAATAGTTTAGCAAATTCATTGGTTGAAAATGCTGAATTTAAGGGTCCAAAATCTGGAGTCTCCCTCCTAAAAAGGGAGATCTAGAGTTGGCAAATATGTGAATGGATAAAATAATGTTTTTTGGCGGTCCGTTTTTTGGTACTGTCACCTTAAACAAAATACGAAAAATATCAAGTTTCGTGTATCTTGTAATGTTAAATGGATTTTTTGGGTCAAAGGATTTCCACGATTATCATCAGCTCATGGATTTGAATTAAATTAGGACGAGATCGATACTGATATCAGTCAACAGTTGTTTTATAACTAATATAACTACGAAAATGAAATCTGCTCTGCTTGTATAATTCAGTTAAGTATATAAATAAAAAAAATATTCAGACCTCAGTGATCAGTAAGACAATTTTTAAAACATAAAATGTAAACACTGTCCGTTACAAAAAAATGCGTACATAAATATACATAATCTTTGATTAATTTCAGAGCATAATAGTGACATGACAAAAGAAAACAACTAAATATTTCACCTTCTATAGCATCCCTCTTCACTGGTGTTTTCCCTTCGTACGACGATGTTATCGTTATGTTGGACGAGTTGGAGCTAAGTTCTTGCAGAGGCGAAAGGTTTTGGATATTTCTGCCTTTATTCGCTTCCTCATGCCGATTCTGTTTCCAGTCTATTGACCTTCTGTGAAGACGTAATTTCTTGGGGTCAACCGATGTTGATTTGATTTTATAGGCATCTTTCATTTGAAGTTCCATCGTGTCTTTCCTTTCCTTCCCTTCACCTTTAGACCGCCTCTACGTTTTCAAAATTCGCGGAAGTGTTTGTTACACCAAATATGATTGGCCAATTTTAGATTCCCAGTGCCATCTATGGGAATACCAAGGGACATAAGTCTTACCAAATAATTATTTCCCCGCGCTACACTGTAATCTACATGATATCAAAAAATCATTTTAAATATGGAGATATTGGCTTTTGTGGCCTTTCAGTTTATATAAGTTGCAATATAAGGTCATTACAATTGTAATAACTATTTGCAATGAACAAAGTATTTGTAGCTCATTTTCATGCAAGAAAAGACAGTTGTTTAATTTATTTTAATACTTTTTAATTGTTCCGGCCTAATGGACAAAAAAATAATCCTCACGTTTCATTTCTTGCCAAAGTGTTTCTTGCTGTTAAAATATATCTATATTTATTATTACGCTATCAATAAAATAGTGCAATATTTTGATGTTAGGACAACATTTGAGATACTCGTACACAAGCATTATTCTTTTTTTTTCTGTGATTGTTTTCGTTTTCCATTTGACATAAACACTTTCACATATATAATTTTTTTCTTCTCTTGATTAAAAGCTGTAAACCAGCATTCAAGCCCCCATTTTGTTTATTTTGAGCTCCGAGCAACCTTAGATCTTTATTTAAAAAACCTTGAGGATAACCTCGGAAACATAACTTGACTTTTGCATGCGAAATAAATGAACCAAGAAAACTATATACAGTTTTATATAATCAATTCTACACTGTGTAATATCAACTTAAGATAAGTGCATATGACAAGTATACAACGTATGACGTAATCACAATGTACAGGTATGTGTGTGACGTCATTTACATACAGGTAAACGTACCTTTACTGCTGCACATCCTCGATACGCTCTCTGCACCTGGTGCAGAGATCTAAAGCGTAAGTGAAGGTAACCCCTGGAGTATCGAGGATGCAGCTGCATAACGAATACATAATTCAATATTTAAAAATTCACACCTGTTTCAAAGTTGCAAGTTCAAGATTTTTTTTTTATATTTACCAAATGCAATACAGCATATATATAGGTTATGCAAATACAAAGCACATGCTTCATAATATTAAAATACAATATACAAAATGGCGGAGGATAATTCCTTATTCACATTTAAAATATATCTTGGTCACATTAATTAATTCTATGTCACAGGAAGGATATTTTCCAGCGCCAGGGGCACAGAGTGTCATTATACCGTTACATAATAAGGGGGATACAAGCGATGAAAGTAATTATAGAGGAATTACATTCATTGGCCATTTAGAGCTCTAAACTGTTGAGTTCCTTGTTAAACGACTGACAAAATGGAGTACAGGGGGAAATGTTGTTACAGATGTCCAATTTGGATTTAAATATGGACTTGGTACCAGGATAATATAATTAATAATAATATGTGACAATCAAAAAGCTTTATTCTGCTAAATATGGACTTGGTACCAGGATAATATAATTAATAATAATATGGAACAATCAAAAAGTGTTATTGTGTATTTGTATAGATTATAGCAAGGCCTTCGATAATGTAACACCTGACAAGCTTTGGTAGAAACATGCATGCATGAATGTTATTAGATCTATTTATGGAAATGAACGTTCTATGGCAAATTATCTGCCATGTTGTATAGGCCTAAACGTGTGGGATTACTACAAGGGGAGGCGTTATTGCCTGTGCTTTTTTTGTTTCTTTTTGTATTGTGTTTGTTAATATGAAGAGTGAGTTTATGAACTCCGATTGTCAGACTTATATAATCTTTTTGTGTTAATGTTTGCCGATGACAAAATTTTATTTTCCGAAGATGTCAACGATCTTCAATAGATGCTTGATTGTCTGCAAACATACTTTGGGAAATGGAATTTATCTGTTAATGCCGATAAAACAAAAGTTGTCGTTTTCTCAGTAAAAGGTAAAACCAATTCTACCGATGGTTAAATGGACGTTCTATGGCAAATCAGTAGAGATCATTGAAAAAAAATGTTATCCAAGATTTTTTTTTATTATAACAGAAGATTCACCGTTGCACAAAATACATTTGACATCTCAAGGTACGAAAGCTTTTGACCTTTTAAAAAGACGAAAGACAGATAAAAATTACCCTTAACACTATAACTAATATATCATTATTTAATGAATATGTTGCATGCATACTGAACTATGGGTGTGACATGTTGGGTAATTGTTTAGAGATTCATCAAATGTTGTGAAAACGATAGTTCTGCGGTATGCTTTGATAGTGGAAGGCCCTCTTCACATATATTCAAGTTTTGAATACGAGTAATTGTGTGTCGAAATCACGTTATGATGCCGTATATGAGCTAAATGCTTTAGTTTTTAAAGTCAAACACGAATTATGTAGAATGGATTTTTACCCAATGGATTGTTCAATATGTGCAAAATGAAAGGCCGGTTTTTGGAAATGTATACTCAGCGTCTGCATGCAATATCTGTCAAAAAGTCTGGTGTCTCTAGCTGTCAAAATGTCCAAGTCTGGTGTCTCTAGCTGTCAAAATGTTCAAGTCTGGTGTCTCTAGCTGTCAAAATGTCCAAGTCTGGTGTCAGGGCCAGAAGAAACTCGGGCTAACTCTTAACATTGAGTCTGGATGTTGTAATTGGCTTCCTAAGAGGTCAAAGAAGATGTACAGCTTGTAACAAAAAGGTACTGAAGATGAAGTACATTTAATACTTCATTATTCTGCATATTCTGAACCCAAAAACACCGACATTACTCCGATCGAGCCGAAAAATAATAACACTTCGTCAGGATGATGTCAGTAGCACTTCCATCAAATATCAATGATCATGATATCCTTTAACAGTATTGCAGTTGAAGTCAATGATAAAAAAGATTTGTACGCACTAAAAACAGCGTACGACGGGCAAAAAGGATAGTCTGAGATTTTTGCTCAGTTGAACTAAAAAGGCAAAGTCTGAAACTTTAACAAATGAGAACTTCTTTCGGAAAACAGTTATTGGTCAATACGCGCAATAGACTCGTTTTCAAGTTAGGAAAGTAAGCTCAAGTAGCGACGACGCTGTTAGTTTGAAGTTGGAAAATGGCAATGCATTTTTTTAAGAATGGTAACTTTTAAGAGATATTAATATCTATTGTTAACACCTTGATACCGCTGTCCTGGAAATTATAATATGCACGACACTTGTCGAATTGGTCAATTGGTAGTGTAACTCACTATCGACAGGAAATGAACGTGCCCGGTGTGTATTTTGTCGGAAATAACCCAAGTCAATAAATTACTGATTTGAGGCGTTTAAATCCGGTGTCAGGATTGAAAACGAACACGATTGCTATCACACAGAATTGTAACGGATGTTTCGGAAGTTCTCCGTAACTTCCCCGCTAAGTGGTATGGTATTCAGTCAATGTCGTGCAAACGAATCATTATACAATTATCTTGTCAGTGTTCAATGTATACGTAGTGCTTAAGTAGTATCGAAACACGCACAACACAAACCTAGATATACTTACACACCGAATTACCTGTCAAAGAAAACCCTTACTTTCCTTCGGCCTTTTATATATTTGTCAATTAGTCCCATTTTCTTAAATCAGACGTATTTTAAGAATGTAGAGAATTATCCATAGAATGAAATTCCACAGTTTTTGAGGAACAGAATAAAAGTAGTGTAATTTTTAAATATTTTTCTGTCTGTTTGGATTTATGGAGTATTTTAAATTAAAACAATATCATAATAATGCAAAAAACCACACAAAAAAACCACTGCATTGATGTCCGTTTATGTTAAAATCAAAATACCAAAGATTTTTTTTTTTAGAAGAATTACAATTTGTAAGTTTTAAGTGGTACTGATATATCTTGTTATCGCTATCATTGACCAAATACCTACACGAAACCTTAATTGGTCTATTGTCTCTAAGACAGGAAATGAGCGTTTCTGTTATGAATAAACCTGACGGGATTATTGAGGAAAGGTGATTGCTCTTACGCCGATTTCTAAGGGGTACTTCCGTGCTAAGTGGCACGCAATCAATATGGTTTGAGTGGATAATTATATATAATGATCTTGTCAATGTATAATTTATACGTGACGATTTAGTAGAGTCCACAAACGCAAAATTGTATCAAGTTAAACCTCTGTAAGCCTCTTTTAAAAGACTACAACTGATAAATTTTACTCAATTATTGCTTCACGTAAACCGTGTCAGGATAAATGACAGATTACAATGACAATTAAGGGAGACATATATTATCGAATATTATTTTAAGAAATTTAGATTCTTTTTAACTCAAATGGATATATTTACACCCCGAATAAGCCCACACTTGAAGAGACACCTTGTCACTATGAACAAATAAATTGAGTACCAGTGGTTTAAAACAAAAGTATCAAGAACGCTGTGACTTATCAATACAATGACATTTCTAGTTTCTCAAACACAATACTTTCAGACCCTTGTTCATAAGTCGGTTCTTCGTTACTCAAATATCTAAATTGAATAGGTATTTTTTGATAAGGGAAATCGTTACTTTATACAGGAATCGTACAATATGTCCTCTATTAATTAAAAGACATTCTTCCGTTTAAAGGTTTTATATTGTTCCCGTTTTCCCCCAATTTTCACCCGTCATTTATCCATTTTTCTTCACATCTCGTTCACATGGGGTAATGGAAAAAATGATGTATTAGTTTGTTAGGTTTCATTATATTTTGAACAAAGGTTCAACAGGTGTATTGATGTATACACCGGAATCACAATCTAAACGACCCTATTTAATAATAACTTATCGTTTGACAAGAAAGCGAAATATCCTACCTGAATGGTCTCGCGGTTAGTTAATGGTCTTAGTAATAGTCTTAAAATCAATGCGGAATCAGAAACGGTTAAAGTCGCGCCTTCTACCCCATTCCGAGACATTTCCCAATATAACTCTCCACTAATCAAAGAAAGTTTCAATTTTATTTTCATGGAATTCTTTGGAAATAGGATCATGAATCATGGCAGTAATGGCCAAATAACAGCATGATGATAATAAGAAA